GCCTCTGCGGGGCGCGGGGAGTAGCCCGGCAGGGCTGCCGTGGGGCAGCGGCCGTGGGGCAGCGGCCGTGGGGCAGCCTTGGGGAGGTCCTGCCTCTGGGGCAGGGTTGTCGGCAGTGCTCGCTTGGCAGGGTCCATGAGGCGAGGCCAGCGTCGGGCTCTGTGGGGCTGGGTCTGTGGGGCAGGGCTGGTGGGATGGAGCTTGTGGGACCGTCTTTGTGGTCCTGGGGCCATGTGGTAGGGCTGGCCAGATGCTCCCCGCTCTGCAGCATCTCCAAGGCTCCCCATGCCCGGGGCCATCCTGAGGGCGTCGCGGGCGGTGCCAGCGCCGGGCTTGGCCCTAGGCTCTCTGATGTGGTGGCGCTGGCGGTTTGGAGCGAAAGTTGTTGCTTTGCGAGAGAACTGCTAAAGTCTCTGCGGAGGCGGCAGCCAGCGCTCGGGCCTGGGAGCCCGCGGTGGGGAATGGCCCAGGAAGCTGCCAGCTCTGGAGGAGCCGTGTTCAGGGCAAGGCACTGGGACCAACTGCTCGGGCTCTGCAGGGTCCTGCAGGTGCTTGGTGTCCCTGGGGCTGTGCAGCAGCATCCTGCAGACTGCCCTGTGCCTCCTGCCCGCAGCAGGGAGGGCTGGGGCCTAGCGGGCAGCACGGTGAGAACCTTCCCAGTGCTACCCATGAGTGGGCTGGTGTCTGGCGTGGACAGCAAGGATAGAGGTGGTTGCCAGAGGATAACGGRGCTGCAGACAGTGCTCGGTGCAAGRAGGATGCTACCGGCTCCTTAAGGCCATGGGCTGGTCCTGCTCCTCCCGTGGGAGTGCAGGTGGCGATGGGACCGCAGCAGAGGGGAGCAGTGGCGAGCAGAGGGCAGGGTCTGGCCGGGCCCCATGGCACGGGGACCTGTCAAGCTCCAGTGCTGCGGCTGGGGACAGCAGTTGTCACCGGAGCCGCATCGATCCCAGAAAGCTGCCTGGCGTCGGCCGCGTCCCCGGTCGAAGCGGTGACCTTGTGTCCTTGGGAAGGGCGCTGGTGGGAGGCGGTGCGCAGCCGAGGGGCCGGAACCGCTGGGCTGGGGCTGGGCCGCCCTGTTGAGTGGGGCCTGGTGCCTGCTGGCCCCGGCGCTCCTGCCTCCTTGGGGCTGCCGTGGGGCTGGGGCCRTGGGCCGGCACGGGGCCCCTCTCCACGGTGCTCTGTCCTGGTGAGTACGGCCTGGCCTGGAGGCTGCTGCCAGCAGGGAACAGGCTGCGCGGAGCGGAGCCAGCGCAGCCCCGCGGGAGCCAGCGGGACTATTGCACTGGTGGCTGATCTAATCGCAGGGAGCAGCGCGGCCGGGAGCAGCGCGGCCAGCCCAGGGGCGAGCCGGSCTGCACCAGGGCTGGGGGCCCAGCTGTGACCTTGCACCCTGCTGGAGGGCAYCTGGTGGCCCGGCCCCTGTGTCCGGTGTCACCAGCCAGGGCCCCGCACCGCCCGGCGGCCCCRTGGGGCTCTGTGCGACCCACGTGGCTGTGTGTGAAAAGGGTTGTGATGGCCAGGCCGGCACCGCCTGCCCCCAGCTGGGCTCAAGGCCTGTCTGGATGAGGAGTGTGCCCAATGCTGCCCTGGTTTGTGCCCCCTGTCACCTCCGCAGTGCTGAGGTTTTGTCCTGCAGCTTCCCCGAGGGGCAGATGGATGGGGCGGGTGCACTGTGGAGCTGGTCAGTGCTGTGGCTGCAGGGGTGGTGCTGGCGGGCAGCAACAGGCAGGCGACATGCTCAGGCTGCCCRTGCTTTGCCCATCATGGTGGCGCCTGGGCAGCAAGTGGCTGCATCCCCATGGCCAGTGGGTGTCACTGGCAAGGATTGTGCTGAGCTCTTCAGGTGGGTTGGATGGGGCTGGGGGATGCTCAAGGCTCCGGGACAGCCCTGGAGGCAGAGACAGGATGGGTGTCAAAGGGTGTATGCGCCCTGGACTCTGTGCAGCGGACAGCAGGGACAGTGGGGCTGGCTGGCTCCGTGGTGGCTCTGGCACGTACTGGGGCTGGGCAGCTGCCTGTGGACGTTGTGGGCTCACACTGGTGTGTCTGGGGCAGGTGCAGGGCGGGTTTCTGGCAGCAGCACCCTGTGGGGTGGGAGCCAGAGGCCCTGTGGGTTGCAGGCACTGCTGGGCTGGGCCCGGAGGAGCCGGTGGCAGGGCTCGGGAGGCTTCGTGGGGGCATCCGGGTGCTCAGTAACATCAGGAGGGTGATGTAGGAACTCTGGGGTGTCTGTGGGCAGAGGAGAATGCAGCGTGTCCGAGGGGGCTCCCCGTGTCCGAGGGGGCTCCCCGTGACCGTGGGGACTCCCCGTGACCGCCGCGCTGCTCTCCTCCCCCGGCAGGGGTCGCTGCCGGCCGGGCGCGACGCAGCCCGGAGCCCGCGCGGCGCCGGGGCCGCTCCGAGCGCGCTGCGCTGGGTTGTGGGGCCGCTCCGGTTGGAGTCCGCTCCGTCCCCGGCTGCGCTGGGTTGTGGGGCCGCTCCGGTTGGAGTCCGCTCCGTCCCCGGCTGCGCTGGGTTGTGGGGCCG